AAAAAGATAAAGTAAATCTAATAGTTTTCAAAATAGTGAAACCATATTAAATGTGAGGAAACTGGACTGAGTATAACTACCCAACATATAGAAACATACATATTAAACAAACATTTGCACAGATTGACATTGCTGCCACAAAGGAACCCCTTTCTGGATTTAAGAATGGATTCGTGGAGAAGGAAATGGCAACCCACTCCAGTATTCTTGCCTGGAAAAGTCCATGGACAGAGGAGCCTGGCGGGCTGCAGTCCATGGGGTTACATGACTGAGCATGTGTGCATGAGTGTGGAGGGAGATGGGTTGGTAGCAATAAACTGGTAGAACTAAAAAAAAAAGAATGGGTTCAGTTTCCCAAACTAGTGATCAGTCAGTTCAGTCGCTCAGTCGTCTCCGACTCTTTGCAACCCCATGGACTGCAGCACACCAGGCTTCCCTGTCCATCTCCAATTCCCGGAACTTGGTCAAACTCGTGTCCATCAAGTCAGTGATGCCTCCAACCATCTCATCCTCTGTCATCCTCCTCTTCCTGCCTCCAATCTTTCCCAGCATCAGGGTCTTTTCCAGTGAGTTGGCTCTTCTCATCAGGTGGCCAAAGTATTGGAGCTTCAGTTGCAGCATCAGTCCTTCCAGTGAATATTCAGGACTGAGTTCCTTCCAATTGACTGGTTGGATCTCCTTGCAGTCCAAGGGACTCTCAAGAGTTTCTCCAACACCACAGTTCAAAAGCATCAATTCTTTGACACTCAACTTTCTTTATGGTCCCACTCTCACATCCATACATGACTACTGAAAAAATCATAGCTTTGACTAGATGGACTTTTGTCAGCAAAGTAATGTCTCTGCTTTTTAATATGCTGTCAACGTTGGTCATAGCTTTTCTTCCAAGGAGCAAACATCTTTTAATTTCATGACTGTCTTCACCATCTGCAGTGATTTTGGAGCCCAAGAAAATAAAGTCTGTCACTGTTTCCATTGTTTCCCCATCTGTTTGCCATGAAGTGATGGGACCAGATTCCATGATCTTAGTTTTTTGAATGTTGAGTTTTAAGCCAGCTTTTTCACTGTCCCCTTTCACTTTGATCAAGAGGCTCTTTAGTTCCTCTTCACTTTCTGTCATAAGGTTGTTGTCATCTGTGTATCTGAGGTTATTGATATTTCTCCTGGCAGTTTTGATTCCAGCATGTGCTTCATCCAGCCTGGCATTTTGCATGATGCACTCTGCATATAAGTTAAATAAACAGAGTGACAATATACAGCCTTGACGTACTCCTTTTCCTATTTGAAACCAGTCTGTTGTTCCATGTCCAGTTCTAACTGTTGCTTCTTGCCCTGCATACAGATTTCTCAAGAGGCAAGTCAGGTTGTCTGGTATTCCCATCTCTTGAAGAATTTTCCACAGTTCGTTGTGATCTACACAGTCAAAGGCTTTGGCGTAGTCAATAAAAAGCAGAAGTAGATGTTTTTCTGGAGTTCTCTTGATTTTTCTATGATCCAACAGATATCGGCAATTTGATCTCTGGTTCTTCTCCCTTTTCATTCCAGTTCCAAAGAAGGGCAATGCCAAAGAATGTTTAAACTACCACACAATTGCACTCATCTCACACGCTAGCGAAGTAATGCTTAAAATTGTTCAAGCCAGGCTTCAACTGTATGTGAACTGTGAACTTTCAGATGTTCAAGCTGGATTTAGAAGAGGCAGAGGAAATTACTGATATTATATATAGAACAGATAACTAATGAGAACATACTGTATAGCACAGGAAACTCTACTTAATGCATGGTGGTGCCCCAAATGGAAGGAAGTGCAGAAGGAAGGGGATGTATATGCCTGTGTATGTATGACTGATTCATTTTGCTGTATAGTAGAAACTGACAGGCAAGAATACTAGAGTGGGTAGCCATTCCCTTCTGCAGGGGATCTTCCCAACCCAGGGATCAAACACAGGTCTCCTGCATTTCAGGCAGATTCTTTACCATCTGAGCCACCAGGGAAACCCAGAAACTAACACAACATTGTAAAGTACCTATATGCCAATAGAAATTAAAAATAAACAAATAAGGGGCTTCCAGTTCAAGATGATGGAGTAAAAGGACTTGTGCTCATCTCCTCCTGCAAGATGACCAAAACTGCAACTAGCTTCTGGACAACCATCAACAGGAGGACACTGAAATCCACACCAAGAAAGATACCCCATGTCCCAAGACAAAGAAGAAGCCTCAGCGAGACGGTAGGAGGAGCACAATCATGATAAAATCAAATCCCATACCCGCCGGGTGGGTGACCCACAAACCAGAGAAGAGTAATACCAAAGAAGTTCTCCCACTGTTGTGAAGGTTCTGAACACCAAGTCAGGCTTCCCAACCTGGGTATCTGACAAAGGTACTGGGAGTCACCAGGGAATCTGACCTTGAAGGCCGGCAGGACTGGGGAAAACAGACTCCAGTCTTGCAGGGCACAGACAAAATCTTAGTGTGCACCAAGACTCGGAGGAAAGGAGCTCTGAGCCCACAGGAAATAAACCAGAACTACCTCTTAGTGGTGGAGGGCCTCCAGTGGAGGCGTGGGTCGGCAGAAGGTCACCACAGGTATGGGGGCTCTGGCAGCGGCAGGCCAGGAAGGTCCCTCTTGGCGTAAACCCTCTTGGAGTTCACCATTAACCCGACCATAGAGCCAGGAGACCCCAGGGCCGAGTCACCGCAGGTCAAACAACTACCAACTACCTCTGAGGGAGTGCAGCCCCACCCATCAGCAGATAATTGGATTAAAGCTTTACTGAGCAAGTCTCTGCCCACCAGAGCAAGACCCAGTTTTCCCCATTACCAGTCCCTCTCACCAGGAAGCTTACACAAGCCTCTTAGCCTCATCCATCAGAGGGCAGACAGAAGCAGCAAGAAGCAGCACAGTCTCACAGTGGCTGAGACAAAAGCCATATTACAGAGAGTTCATCACAATGAAAAAGCAGAAAGTTACATCCCAGATGAAGGGACAAGATAAAACCCCGGAGAAATTTCCCTAACATGGGAAAGGAAATAGTCAACCAAGTCCAGGAAGCACAGAAAATTCCAGACAGGATAAACCCAAGGAGGAACACACCAAGACACATAGTAATCAAACTGACAAAAATTAAAGACAAAGATAAAATATTAAAAGCAACAAGGGGAAAATGACAAGTAACATACAAGGGAGCTCCCATCAGGCTACCAGCTGATTTCTCTACAAGCCAGGAGGGAATGTCAGGATATGTCTAAAGTGTTGAAAGGAAGAACCTATAACCAAGAATACTCTACCCAGCAAGGCAGTCCTTCAGATTTGATGGAGAAATCAAAAGCTTTCCAGCAATCAAAAGTTAAAAGAACTTAGCACCACCAAACCAGTTTCACAACAAATGCTAAAGGAAATTCTCTAGGCAGAAAATACAAGATGTTTAGAGCTCACACTATTCAGTTTTCTCCTTTCTGGTATTTCCTCCTTATGGGAGTTCCCTTTATGTTATTTGCCATTTTTTGCTTGCTGCTTTTACTATTTTATCTTTGTCTTTAATTTTTTTCAGCTCTTACCGCTTCAGATATTCTCTCAGGTCCTCTCTGTCTCTCTTCTCCTTTATAATTGTTACTTGTGCGTTTGTTTTGAGGGCCAAGGATGCACGCAGCAGAGAAATCCACCTCAAAGAGCCATTTTTTTAAGTATCAAATTCTGTGTAAATCCATCAGTTTTCATGTTAAAGTTAGACACAGATGACATCAACAGTGCTTTAGAACTATGATCTCACAAAATCACATTTCAGCATTGACCTTTCTTACTTTTACCTACTTTGTTCACATTGCCTTTTATCGCCTAAATGTCTTCTCAGTTCAATTACTGTCCAAGAATGACTTATTGAGTACTTACCAGATGCAAGTCATGAAATTAGATCCTCCACCTATTGAAATCATGTTCATTCAAAATCCACATCAAATGCAGAAGCCTCCAAGATCACTCTTGAGCTCGTAATGTGTAGATGTGTGCGTGCTAAGTTGCTTCAGTCCATGTCTGACTCTGTGCGACCCTGAAGACTGTAGCCTGCCAGGCTCCTCTGTCCATAGACTTTTCCAGGGAAGAATACTGGAGTGGGTTGCCATTTCCTCCTCCAGGGGATCTTCCCGACCTGGGGATTGAACCTGCATCTCTTTGTGTCTCTGCATTGGCAGGCAGGTTCTTTTCCACCAGCACCACCTGGGTAGATAGATGTGATTTATTGTTGCTCTGAATGTTTTTTGTGCCTCCTTCTCCCCTTATGACATTTTGTTTATTAATATACTTGCTTTCCCTCCACCCACCTATCACCAGTCTTATTCCCCCTCTTAGGTTGTAAACTTCACTGTGGCAAGGGCAAGTCTTACTCATGTTTATATCCATCCATGCGGCCTTAAACATGCTTTTCAAAGTCGGGACTAAAAAGATACAGGAAAGTCTTTGCAGCTGGAAATGGGGAACATTAGCTTCCTGTCTCTGTTCTCAGCAGAGTAGAGAGCATCAGGTAATGATGCTCTATTGTCTCTAGAGCACATCTTAATAGAGACAACTCTTCTTCCCCTAGTTCTTCTTCCTCTTTGCTTCCCTTTTCCTCCTCCTCCTTCCCCTTCTCCTCTCCTCTCACCTTTTCTCCTTCTTCCTTTCTTATTCTCACTATTTAATTGTGGCCTAGTTTAATCTTTGACTTTTTGTATGCTTAGTCTCAGCTTTAAAATAAGGTATGTGCTGGTAAGAAAATGTTTTACTTTAAGTTGTTACAGTTCAGTAAGGGATCCCTTATTTCACCTTTGAAGACTTAGTGCCAGAACTCAACTAAATAGACCAGTGATGTTCCCAAGAATAGGTAGGAGAATAATCCAAATGTTTGATTCTTCCTTAACTTATAGAATATTGAGCTGTAATAGACATACTGTAAAATGAAAACTGTAGAAATAAGATTAAGTGAATTAAATTATTTTTCCTAATAATCTTACTTCTTCCTTAGATTCAGGTCAGAAGACATTTAAAAGGAGAAGATCTATCATAAACTGGGCCTTTTGGCGGGGTTCTAGCATTCACCTGGATAACTTGCCCGTGTCACCAACATCTCCTATCCCAGGACAGCTCTTCGGGGTTTCTCTGCCAGATATTTGTGAGAATGACAATCTGCCCAAAGCTGTCTTGGTAAGTCTCACTTTGGCCTATAGCACTAGTAGGAAAGGAGGTTTGAGAAAGGAATGCTCTGGGAGGTAAATCTTTCCCTAAAAAATGGGAAATTTATAGATACCCATTGCTTTGGCTGAGAATCTTTATTATTCCTTCAAAGAAAAAAAAATCTGATTACACTACTGCAGAGTCATAAGGCAGACATAACAGGGAGAGATTATCTAGCCTACTGATTTCAGGCAAGAGCCCCATTAACCTACTCAGATAAATTAGAACCTACACTGTAGACCGAGAATCCACATTAGCCCTGACATTTTTCTCACAGCCTTTCTTGAACCCTGCATTGTTCAGAAAGTCTCATTTAATCACTTTAGCAACACAGACTAAATCTTAACATTTTTAAACTTGTGTTTTATTTGTATTCCAAGTCTTTTAAGTATAAAGATATATCCTCTGGTATTTAGTTATCTTTTGTATGTAGAAGAGATCAAATGAAAGCCACTGAGTATGTATTTTTTCCAGTTAATATAGTAAATGGGTAGTATTAAAGAATATTTATTGAGTGTCCAGTATCCTCCAAGCAATATGCTAGATGCCTTGCCCTTTATTCTATGTTGTTCATCTATATATAAGCACCAGGTACTAATCTAGCTGCTTTATTGCTTATCCTTCACGACAGATTTAGAAGGCAGTTATCATCATCATCATTACTGTCATTCCTACTCTCCAAATTAAAGGGAAACCCCCGCCCAAGTTTACCAAAGGTCACACCATAAATATGTGTCATAGCTCGGTCCCAGATCCCATGGGTTGCTTGCCTCCAACACCCATTCTCTTACTATATGGCAAGGAGAGGACACAGCTAGAAAGAAAGTGAAATAAAAGACCGAATAGAATGGGATGGAATGGAGAAAGCTTCCTAAAGGAGATGCTTTTGGAGGCTGATTTTAAAAGAAGGAAATAGTGACTTCCCTGGTGGTCCAGCAGTTAAGAATCCACCTTCCAATGCAGGGGACAAGGACCCAGTCCCTGGTCAGGAACTAAGATCCCACATGCCACAGGGCAACTAAGCCTGCACACCACAGTGAAGACCCAGCACAACCGAAAAACAACAAAAATGTAATATTTGTTAAAAAAAAAAAAAAGAAGGAAGTAAAGTATAAAGCCACATGAAAAGAAAGACAAGCAAGAGGACTTCCCTGGTGGACCAATAGTTAAGAATCTGCCTTCCAATACAATGGGTTCTGTCCCTGGGCAGGGAACCAACCGAAGATCCCACATGCCACGGGGCAGCTAAGCCCGTGAACCGCAGTGAGGAGCCTGCATGCGGCGACTGAGACCTCACACAGCCAGAAACAAACACCCCAAGAAGGAAGGAAAAGGCATTTTCATACTTGGGGAAAAGAATCCATATTGGAGAGTAATGGGAGAGTAGTTAGGAGAGAGACAAGTTAGCAGGTACCTCAAAGTGACTGCTAGTTCACTGAAAAAAGTCTCATTAAAACAAGTGTTTAAGATGTTTAGATGTTAAATATAGCAAGCATAAATAGGAGAAAGACATTTAGAGATGCCAAAAAGCAAATAGAGTTTAATCCTCTAGCAGGCCTTCTAGCCCCAGGCCTTCAGGTCTTTCCCCTGGTACACCCCAGCCTCTGGCACCTGGAGAGGGCAAATACATGTTCCCTCGCTTGTTCTGCATGAAGCACCATCTTGATTTTCTTTTTCTTTTGCTTCCTCGTAGGATATGCTTTTCTTTCTTAATCAGAAAGGACCTCTCACAAAAGGCATCTTCAGACAGTCGGCCAATGTGAAATCCTGCAGAGAGCTGAAAGAAAAACTGAATTCCGGAGCTGAAGTACAACTAGACTGTGAATCTATTTTCGTAATAGCATCTGTCTTAAAGGTAGGGAAGTTTCTCCCTTCATCCACCCCACAGCATAGCTCTGAAGAAAGACAACTGGCTTATCTCATTGTAACATTACTCCCATCTGCAGAAGACCATGATAGAAATAGAACCTTAAAAGTGTTTAAAAAAAAAAAAGAAACATTTCATAAAGTCATGTGTGTGCTCAGTCGTGTCTGACTCTGTTACCCCATGAACTGTAGCCCGCTAGACTTCTTTGTCCACAGGATTCTCCAGGTGAGAGTACTGGAGTAGGTTGCCATTTTCTCCTCCGGTGGTCATAGAATCACACTAGCATTTAAAAGCCACTTCTAATGATGTGGCATGTGAGATAGTCATTTTAAATTTTTTCATCCCATGTCACTCTCCTCATCTTCACTTCTGCTACCCCATGCAAAAGAGAAAAAAAAAATGAAATGAAACTTAAAAACAATTATAACACACAGTATATTTACCAAAATAAACATCCTGATTAAATGACTTTCACACAGTCTCACTATTTTCCTAATAAAGGCAAAATTTTCAAAAATAAACTTGTATTAAACTTTGAAGCAGAGTTTTACCATAATAAACAGACATTTGCCTAATAATTGAAATGTTGCTCACTGAGGCTACTGAAAATTCTATTCAGTTATACAGTATCCCCCCCCCAATGCCTTTTAAAAGTAAAGGGTGGAGTAGGAATGATTGCAACATCTAGTCCTTCTTTTATGAAACCCTTACCACATTTGGTACCCTTGATCCCATGTATATCTTGTATTTCACAATAAGCTTCTTTGCTGCAAGCATTTTTGCTACAGACATTTTGGACATATAACCATATAATTAGCCTTATGGTAATTTTGCTAAAAAAAATAAAGTAAATGGTTGACAGTTTGTTTTGACATATACAATATAAAAATCATGACAGATGACAATGATTTGTCCCAAGAATTGGTTTCATATTTTGAAATATACTACATTGGAGTTGAAAGAGACCAATGGCCTTGAAGACATATCATGAACCCACATTTCCCTTAGAACTCTGAAATATTTATCAAGGACAAATGGCAATATGCCAAGAACAAAAAGTAGTGTGCAAGGCTTTCACAAAATCTCAGACACAAATATGTATCCTAGTACCTAGTATTTGAAACTTGATGCCGCTCCTAAGAAATTTTAGCAAAAAATGAAACAGTGCAATGCTGAGCAAGAGACAAATCAACAATATATATATATATATATATGCACACACACACACATATGTATGTGTACATATATAAAATATTGTGAATGAAAGACTTGGAAGACAAATGCTTTAGTATAACCCATGAAATAATATTGAATTAATAATATAAATTATGCAGTATTGCCATGAATCTATACACATTTTATTTTTTAACTTTTTATTTTGTATTGGAATATGGGAGATTAGCAATGTTGTGATAGTTTCAGGTGGACAGATTGGGAACTCAACCATTCATATACATGTATCCATTCTCCCCCAAACTCCCCTCCCATCTAGGCTGCCACATAACATTGAGCAGAGTTCCCTGTGTTATACAGTTGGTCCTTGTTGGTTATCCATTTTAAATATAGCAGTTACACACATTTTAAATGTGTTCAAGTGTTTTGTATTTTACAAGAAAGTCTTTAATTTTGTTATTCTAATGTTTCATTATGTCCTTCTTAATATCCCTCATTTAATTTTTGTTATTTTATCTTTTATGGCAGAACTGCCTTACAGCCAGTTCATTATTTGGTTAAAGTATTTGCTGCAGAAATGCTTGTGGCAAAAATGTCTAAAGCAAATAAGCTTACTTATGGCAAAAAAGCTAGATCCCCCCTCCCCCCATCCCAACCCCACCCTACCCCCACCTATGGTTATTTAACTCAAATCCATAGTTGAGTTGATCTTATAAAATGTTTTCCTCCTCACATTCATGAAAATGCCTCACATTTTTTGAAAATCTAGAGTCAAAACTAGCTTTTCACAGAGCTTTTGAAGCTTTTGAGCAATAGCTTCTGCAGATCGGAATCAGGCTCCCACCTCCGAGCAGGATTGGAATGTCCCAGAGCCAGGGGTAGATACAGTGCCCCAGCCCACATCCCCAGGCCTGGAGCTTAAAAACTAAATTAAGGAAAACATGATGAAGAAGATTCCTGCATGTCCCTCCTCCTGGCCAGTTGCTTACACAATCATATTTTATGAGTTAGTGAATAATCAGATGCCTCTTGATAAAAGGGCCTTGACTGCTCTTAAACTACCCCACCATAGAGTTTCACAATGAAGTGTCACTCTAAAGAACTGGAGAGGGGCTTCCCTGGAGGCTCAGTGGTAAAGAATCCGCCTGCCAGTGCAGGAGACACAGGTTTGATCCCTGCTCCAGGAGGATCCCGCATGCCGCGGGGCAGCTATGCCCATGCACAGCTGTTGAGCCTGCGCCCTAGAGCACGGGAGCTGCAACCGCTGAAGCCTGTACCCCTAGAGCCTCTGCTGCACAAGAGGAGCCCCTGCTTGTCACAGCTCGAGAAAAGCCTGGGCAGCAAGGAAGACCCAGCACAGCCTGAATAAACAAATAACTTTTTAAAAAAAGAACTGGAAAATTGGAGCTAGGATCATCTAATTTATTTTACACAGGGTTTGTGATTACCTTTCAGTCCTGGAGTACAATAAAGGTATGTATAGTGTGCTTAGCCAGATACATAGCAGGCATGCAAGTATATGCATGATAAACTTTTCTTTGATTTTTGTCATAAAATTAGGCTTTCCCCCATCTTTTAAGAAGTTAAAGCCTATGTTTTAGAAATTTTTCCTTAATATGCTATTCATCACAGCACTACACTTAAAATTTTGTTCTAAATTGTTGAGGTTGCTATGAAGAAGTATGATTTTAGAACAGTTAAACGTATTTCACAGTGAAAAAATAGTACTTATAGAGGAATAGGCAAAAGACAAAAACTAATCCAAATGAAAAATCTGGTTATATGAGTTCTAACTAAAGTGTTATAATCATGTAGCTGTGTTTTACTCTCATTTCTTCCAAGTAGTTGCAAGAAAGGGATACTTTTTGCCAGAAGTTTTTGAACTTTTGTTTTGTTTCTTATTTTTAAGATTTGGAGCAGTACTTAAGTTTTTCTTTAATTTTTACTTACACTGGTTTTGTTTAAATGTAACTATAACTGGAAGAAAATTACTTGTGATACTGTATTTTTGATTCATCAGACCTCTGAGGAAAAGTGCATTTTTAATCCTGTAGGAATCTCATATCAAATTAATTTGGGAGTTCTGCTGATGGCCTGGTTTCTGTTTTTGGAGGGGAAAAGACTTTTGGTTGAGTGCTAAGAGCTGGTTATTGTAATTCAGAACCAGCTTTCACGTCCCTTCTCAAATCCAATGGTGGTTGTTATTTCGTAACTTGTTATTCCAGCTGTGGAGAGTTCATTGAGATGTTACAAGTTATTATCTTTCAAGTGTAGGTTTTAAGATTTAATGATGTTTTTCTTCAAGACAGATCATAACTGTGTTTTCCACTGAGATTTTAAAAGAGAGGTATTGTCACTGCCCCATTTTGAAATAACAGATTTTTGCTCTGACTTTTAATCTGACTTTTAATGTAGGTGCAGCCACTAAAATTAGTCTGAAATTATGAAAATTTGATAGATTGACCCAGAAAAGAGGTAATCTTTATGATGACACATCTGAATCACAAATATCCATGGATATTACTACTGGAAAATAGAACAGAGAAAGACTTTGTATCAATCATCTTCCTACTTGTTAACTACTCTTAAAAAATGTATGATAATAGGTGACATGACTACAAAGAGGTTTTCAAAATTACTCTGCTGCTGCTAAGTCGCTTCAGTCATGTCCGACTCTGTGTGACCCCATAGACAGCAGCCTCCACCCACCAGTCTCTGCCGTCCCTGGGATTCTCCAGGCAAGAATACTGCAGTGGGTTGCCATTTCCTTCTGCAATGCATGAAAGTGAAAAGTGAAAGTGAAGTTGCTCAGTCGTGTCCGACTCTTAGCGACCCCATGGACTGCAGCCTACCAGGCTTCTCTGTCCATGGGATTTTCCAGGCAAGAGTACCGGAGTGGGTTGCCATTGCCTTCTCCATCAAAATTACTCTAGATATAGTTAATTGACCTTTCCTTGCCCTTCACTAATATTTGACCATATGACAAATAGCCACAGTTCCGTAATGACCTCTACTGTGTTTGGGACTGGGGCTTCCCAGGTGACTCAGTGGTCTGCCAACGCAGGAGATGCAGGTTCAATCTCTGGGTTGGAAAGATCCTTTGAAGAAGGAAATGGCAGCCCACTCCAGTATTCTTGCCTGGGAAATTCCAAGGACAGAGGAGCCTGGCAGGCTGTAGTCCATGGGGTCACAAAGAGTCAGACATCACTGAGCAACTGAGCATGAGCTTGCACGCACGCCTGTCTGGGAATGTGCTTGGCATTAAGGTGTGTGACGTAGAAGGTGAGGGTCTGATTCTGCCATGAAGAAGCTGATTAGCTAGTAGGGAACATGCCCACCTAGTTAGCTAACTGCAACACTTAGGAGTCACAGCTTCCATATTAGCAGTATAAACATGACATATAAGTAACAAGTTGTGCATTCCCTTTCTAAGGCACAAAGGTAAAGTTGCTGATTTGATTTTCCAACAAGAGTTAAAATTATTCAGTTACAGATTTTCACCTGTCTCCACATTGTAGGCGGGAACTTATAAGCAGATAGTCAACCATGTCATGTTATGTTGTAAGCAGGAACGTGTAAGAAACATAGGGCCAGGACCAGAATTCTTTATTTTTAAACTTTTTATTAACATACGTCAAACTGGAAACTGTTGGATGTATCCTAATTGTGTCATAGTCTAGTTTCATCACACCCAACCCCGCCAGTGGTCTCTGTGTAAGAGTCTCAAAGACCAGAAAGGATAATGTACCAGAGACATGTTATTTAATGTACATTACGTGTGGGGTGCTGCCCCATGCTTCCAGAGCCCAGCCACAGTCTGGAATGCTTTCTTCTCCTAATATATGAGAGCCCTTCTAGGAGGAACACAGAGAGAAGCTCTAAGCATCTCTGCATGAAATTATTCACTAATGCCACTGGAATATAAAGTTCTAATATAACAGGGACTTAGTTTAATTTGCTACTCTATCCCTACCACCTCAAACAGTACCCGGCACATATGAATAAATATTTGTTGAATGGTTAAATGACTGATTATTATGATTCTCACAAATGTCTTCATACATTTCTTTTAACTAATGAAATAAAAAGGATTTAGGTTTGCCAGACTCCGCCTTGTTATACTAGTTTGCTAAAATGTACACAAACAGGAGATTTCAGCCTAAGCAGGTTGTCCTTTATCCTTACCCCTATAGACCAGACTCCAGTTTCCCTCTGGTTTTTGTTAGAAAAATATCAAAGCATATGTTTCTATGGGTGCACATCATTGAAAGGTTGGCACTGAGCTCCATGTAGTCCAAAAAAGAGAGAACTTAACTGTACTTTCCAATAAAGTGTCTTCTTTCTAATGTCTCTAATACATATTTAACCTGAGAATAACAATTTAAAATATTTATTTTTCCCCTCTATATAAGGATTTTCTACGAAATATTCCAGGAAGCATTTTTTCATCAGATCTCTATGATCACTGGGTCTGTGTAATGGATCAAGGAAATGATGAAGAGAAAATAAATGCAGTTCAAAGGTAATTATTCTGATTTGGTCATTTCTCAAAAATGCTTTTTAAAAAGCTTATATTTTGTAAGCTTGTCTACTAAGGTAGTATGCATGTGCTTGCTGTGTTTAGTAACTCAATCATGTCTGATTCTTTACAACCCTTTGGACTGTAGCCCACCAGGCACCTCTGTCCATGGGATTTCCCAAGCAAGAATACTGGAGTGGGTTGCCCTTTCCTCCTCCGGGGGATATTCCCAACCCGGAGATTTAACCCACGTCTTCTGTGTCTCCTTCATTGCAGGTGGATTCTTCACCCACTGAGCCATAATCACTATCAAAATCACATCCCCGGGGGCCAGTTTAAATATAGATTTATTCTAGCTACTATCACTTTTATTGTTGCTTTTCCCTAATCCTATTAACATGGAATACTTGACCATTTTACACATTGTGTACATCTGAATCTGATAGGAGCTGAAACCCATTAGACCAAGAGGTAATACAGTAGACTCAATCTATAATTTATATCTTAGTTTAACCAGACTATTCCTTATATACTTCATTTAACAACTGAATTCATAAAGAGAAAATCCCTTCCCCCAAGGGTCTCACAGTCTAGTAGAACCGATAGACAAAACCAATAATTACAAAGTAGTATAATCAGTGCTAGTAAAGAGATACCTGGAGAATATGTGGGAATGCTTCAGAGGGACAGTTAACTTGTTGAAAAGTGTCAGGGAAGAAGGGAGTCTCAGTCTGATCACAAAGAATGCATTGTTTATACTCGATGCAAAGAGAAGTTGCTGGCAGGTCTCGCCACCCCAATCCCTTACAAGAGTATAAGAAAGAAGAGTCTATTAACAAAAAGCATACTTCCAGTTCTGTGAAAACCCATGAATCCCAAAATCATTTATTTGCATATGCTTGTTTAGTGCAGTTTTTCTTGAGCAGCTTTCAAATACAAGTCATTATCTACACACTGCTATTAATGGACACCTGTATCAATAGAAGAACATAGTATAGCTGTTGAAGACACCAGAATCAAAGGCACGTGACAGAATGTGTGTGTTTTGGCGGAAATCATTCATGGGCAGTGAATGTCAGAGCCTGTATTTTGTTGCTCATTGTCTAAAACTTTATATTCTACAAATGGTTAAAAAGATGTTGTTTTAAAGAGAGTTAGACTTATATCTCTCATACAAACACAAAATGAGCACACGTGAGAGGTTTTATTTAAAACATTAATTAGAGAACTAGTAAGATATTACTGCAAAGTCAAAAGAGATTTCTGACTTTCACAACTTACATAATTAAATCAGAAATGCTGAAATGAATTTATAAATAGATGCAAAACTGGCTTTTACTGCTAGGCCATGGGGCGCGGTGAGTGGGGCAGTGTATGTGCAAATAAACCATTTATCTCTCTACCAGATAAGATTTTTGAGTCTACAGGCAAGTGTTAAGTGCACTGCTATCAGTGATGTACAGTTTGCAGAGTCAAATAACTCAACCCCTATGACCCAGATACCCCAGAGTATGATAACAGTACCTTACTTTCCATTGAATACATCCAGGAATCCTTTGGTTCATTTCCATATCTTTCATAATTTGTCCCTTCAAAACTGTACTCATTGTCAGTCCACAATGCTGAAGAAATGCCTTGCTATTGTTATGCAACAAGACTCCAAGTACCCAATTTTCTCCCCCAGATTACAGATTCTTGTTGGAAAAAAACAACCACCATGACTATCAACATTTGTATCTATTTTCTGTATGACAGTAAAAATCATTTTTAGTGAATGATCATTTAAAATCCTTTATCAATTACAAAATGAAAACAGTAGGAAAAATATTATTATGAGCTTGCCTTACATGTGAGAGTGATGTCAGTGAGATAGAGAGATGCGGGGCAAAATTGACCTTGAGACCTGCTGGAGCAGAGAATGGACCTTTCAGAATGGACCTGGGAGTCTCATAGCCAAGGTTTAGGTTTTTACCAAGAGACAGAATCCTGTGTTGCTTCTTAAAAGTAAAGGAGCTACATATTAGTAAGTAAGTAAAGAAGTATTAAGTATTACATATTAAATGTAACTGTTTAATTTCATTAGAAAGCTTTTTGGGGGTTTTGGTTGAGAATATTCGGGAATGTTATAGGGTTTGCTTAAGATACTTTGCAACCGTTTCAGGTAAATGTTTCAGACAGCATCTTTTTATGAATTACTTTTTTGCATTCTTTTACATTTTCATTGGATTACAAAATAAATAAACCTCCAGTGCTCACTTTCTCTCCTCTTTACAGGCAGGCCTCACTTGGCATGTAGCATGTTAACAGACTTTCCTGCATATCTGAGCTGTGAAAGTGAGGACTCCCTGTTAATGCAGGTTTGCTATGAAATGTTTGCTTACGGAGTGCATTTTTCTGTCTTTAGGCTATTAGACCAGCTTCCGAGAGCCAATGTTCTTCTCCTAAGGTATCTTTTTGGGTTATTACACAACATTGAGCAACATTCTTCGTCCAATCAGATGACCGCATTTAATTTAGCAGTGTGCATCGCCCCAAGCATTCTTTGGCCTCCTACTTCCTCCAGCCCAGAACTAGAAAACGAATTTACAAAAAAGGTAATGAAGTTTTTTCTTTTTCTGCTCTGGGGGACCAGTTCCCCATTTTGAACCTAAAATTCGGGGTATTAATTCTGAAGGATACATGTTTTCTGAAGTGAAAATACTTAAGAAAATAAGTACTATATGTACTAAGTACATGTCATTATAAATTTGAGTTCATTGAATGTTTTATCCTATCCTGGTAGACGATAGAAAAGGTAATTTCTTGAGCCCAAAAGTGATAGCAGTTGGATTGCTTCTCTTTTCTCTTTAAGGAGGAAAAACAACTATGACTGACTTAAACCATAGAATGATAAGAAAACAATTGATATGATTTTAGAAATAAATAAGGACTTTCAGCTCTAATGAGGTGGATGAACCTAGAGCCTATTATACAGAGTGAAGTAAGTCAGAAAGAGAAGGACAAATATCGTATATTAATGCATATATATGGAATCTAGAAAGATGGTACTACTGATCTTACTTGCAGGACAGCAAAGGAGACACATGTTAAGAACAGACTTCTGGACACAGTGTGGGGGAGGAGAGGGTGGGATGGTTTGAGAGCATAGCACTGAAACATATACATTACCAGGTATAAAACAGATAGCCCTCTGTCTATTTAGGGGGTTACTCTATGACGAAGGGAAGCCAGAGCCAGTGTCCTGTGATAGCCTAAAGGAGTGGGATGGGGAGGGAGGTGGGAGTGGGGTTCAAAAGGGACGGGCCATATGTGTACCTCTGGCCAATTCACGTTGATGTATGGCAGAAACCATCACTGTATTGTAAAGTTATTAACCTCTAATTAAAAATTAAAATAAGTAAATTAGGACTTTGGAATTAGGTCAAGGTTGAATTTTCAGCCCTAACACTTGCTAGATGTACAATCTTGGGCAAAATTAGTTACATTGATCCAGTTTGCTCATCTAAAGAATGGAGATGTTGCTAATACCCAGTTCATACATTATTTAAGTTGGTGCAAATGCAGTTTTGGACTGTGAATTTTAAATCATTATAACTAGGCTCAAACACATCTTTATTAATCAAAATAGGAGCCATTAGAATCAACACATTTTTGCCAGTGAGAAATAAGTTTGTTGATTCCTGTAGCATAAAAATCTATGCTTTGATATTAGATGAACTCTTAGGAAGTATTTTCTGCCTCCTGCTGGTTGTGGAAGCATTTTTCCTGCAAAAGCTTGTCAAAATGCTTGAAGAAGAGGTAGTCAGTTTTCAAGAAATCAGGTGAATATGGCAGATGAGGCAAAACTTCGTAGCCCAGTTCACTCAACTTTTGAAGCATTGCTTGTGCAATGTGCAGTCAGGTGGTGTTGTGGAGAAGAATTGGGCCCTGTCTTTTGAGCAGTGCCAGCTGCAGATGTTGCAGTTTTTGGTGCATCTCATCAATTTGCTGAGCATTCATCTCAGATTTCACCGGGATTCAGAAAGCTGCAGTGGATCAGACAGGCAGCAGACCACCAGACAGTGACCATGACCTTTTTTGCTGCAAGTCTGGCTTTGGGAAGTGCTTTGGAGCTTCTTCTCGGTCCAGCTACTGAGCTGGTTGTAACCAGTTGTCATATAAAGTCCACTTTTGGTCACACATCACAATCCAGTCGAGAAATGGTTCATTGTTGTTGCATAGAATAAGAGAAGGCGACACTTCAAAATGACAGCTTTTTAAATTTTCAATCAGTTCATGAGGCACCCACTTAGCGAGTTTTTTCACCTTTCCAGTTTGCTTCAAATAAGTTCTTCAGCAACTCCTCATTTAGTTGTAAGAAGATCAGCTTTGATGATTACTCTCAGTTGGTCACTGTCAGCTTCTGATGGCTGTCCAATAAGCTCCTCATCTGCAAGGCTTGTCTCCTTTGCAAAAACAGATAGCACTGCACTATTTGTTAGCCGTTTCTGGGCCAAATACGCTGTTGATGTTGTGGGTTGTCTCTGCTGCTTTATGACCTGTTTTGAAGTCAAATAAGAAAACTGCTCAAATTTGCTTTTTGTCTAACATCATTTCCATAGTCTAAAATAAATATAAAATACACAGAAAGTAGTGTCATTTGCCAAAAACATAAAGCAAAAATTTCACATTAAAATGATGTATACCATAATCACATTTATTTAAGAATGTATTCCAACATCAAACAGCAGAGTTCAACAGTGCAAAACCGCAATTACTTTTGCCCCAACCTAATAGTTACTTGAGATCACATATTCCTGTATTGCCTGATTGTAAGTACAGGAGCTGGGGCTTTGTTTCAGCTACTGGGGCAAAAAAAACTATGTAAAGGTCTCCGTGTATCTCACGGAGGCACAGAGCACCCTAATAAAATCTTACGTCTTCCCGAAGCACCTCCAGTTATCAAGGCTAAGGGAGAGAAATGCATAGGAAGAGACTAGTCAGGCAAAGTGCAAGTTTTTTCTCCAGCTGTCTCACCTCTTCACGGAGTTCACGAGTTCACGGAGAACCACAGAGGATACCTACCAATTTCCCAGCTCATGACACCTGCCTTTTGCATAAGAAATACATTGTATAAGTCTTCATCTAATGACACTTCATGAATTTTAATGAGAAAGTGTGTTTCCTCACCCCAAGTGCCCTATAGAGAATACTTAAAATTACTCTAATTTTAAAGACAAGACAGTTGGTATAAAAATGTTAGTATTAAGCCAAGGCCACAAATAATAACCAGTCTACTGATTCAAATTAATTTCTATACTCAAACTACTCTTGAAAGTATCATAGTTTTTTAGGGGAAACTGTATTATAAAGCAAACCTGAATTTTTCTCTGGATTTTTTGGCATTTTTTGTTAGAATTAGGATTCATATATGAAATGTGATCTATAGAAAGGCTGTATGAGAAGTTTGCAGCTCACTTTTGTCCCTTTTTTGTACAGGTTTCTCTGCTTATACAATTTCTGATTGAAAACTGCTGTCGGATATTTGGAGAAGAAATCACTTCCCTCTTGGGAGAGGTTTCAGTGAGATGTGATACTAGAGAGAATGCCTCAGGTATTGTGAATAACTGGATTGGGTTTTGTGGGAAACAGACAACACATCTGTGAAGATCAGCTGGGACAGTAGTTATCCTGGAGCCCACAGCAGCTCGGGTGAAAGGGGCCTCTCACCTCGGTCAGTGGGTCTAGGACTTCTGCTCCTTCCTTAGAAGGTCAGGGTATGTTAACACTGTGGTAGGGTTAAGAAGTGTATAAGACAAGGTCCCAGACTGTTAGTGGCAGCATTATATAGTATGATGTTTTTAACCCTTTTTAAAATAAACTACAAGGAGCCCCAATATGTATAACACAACTACTCTGGTTGAAACTGGAGTAGAAGGCCCAGAGGCAATAGAGGCAGCCCTGTTTTTTCTCCTCACCTTCCTCTTAGAGGTTCCCTGAGGCTTCTTAGAATTCTCGTGCACTGCTAAATACATTAAAAACAAGTAACATCATGGGGCAGGCTGGGCTCTGTGGGAGTAAAGACACTCAATATTCCAAATTATGAATTCTTGTAACACCAATGACTGGTTATGTTATCTTTGGTCAATTCTTCTATGCCACTGAACATCAATATCTTCATCTACAAATATGAATAACCATCATATCTAACAGTTTTGGTTGTAGTAAAGATAAAGTAATGTATAGTAAAGAACTTTGTCAAAGAGAAATTGATAGGGCTAGTAAATGGTTTCTCTGAGATTAGAGTTAATTATATATATACACCAGCAGATCCATTTAAAAGGCAGAGTCTTATTCAGAACCTGGATATTATCTGGCATTAATTTCTTTATATTTTTAACTGTTTGTTGATATTATGACCATCTCCTCATAGCTTTGAGGAAATCTTATTTAAAGAAAGCCTATTTCTTCAGGAACTGAGGTAAATATCATATACCTCAACAGTTTATTTTTGATTCTGCACTTATATCTGGGGAGATTATGAAATACTCTTTCTTTCCTTAGAGTGAAAATTTGAACAATCTACATTTAAAAACAGAATTACACCAAACATCATCATAGTTGGGGCTTTTTATTATTTTTAAGGCAGCATGCATTTGTGCTAAGTAAAAATGCTAATCCTGGTTTGCTTTTTCGACAGATCTCTCTTGCTTCCAGCTGAACGACTCCTCCTATGACAGCTTGGAAAATGAGCTGAATGAGGATGTTGACGCCCCATGTAGTGACCTGGTAAAGAAGCTCGGTCAGGGCAGCAGAAGCATGGACTCCGTGTTAACCCTCAGTGACTATGACCTCGACCAGCCTGAGGTGGAAGGCCTTCTAACCCTCAGCGACTTTGACTTGGACCGTCCTAAAGATGAAGACGTTCGAATGGGACAGCCCCTTGAACCCAAGCCAGTGGACACTGCCGTGTACACCACGGTCCCATGCACCCAGGCCCCCTCTGGCGTGAGCACACCCAGCCGCCTGTCCACAGCTGCCACAGATGCCCCCAAGGGCCTGAGGCGGCACCGCCGCTGCTCGGAGCCCAGCATCGACTATCTCGATTCAAAGCTTTCCTATCTCAGGGAGTTTTATCAGAGAAAGCTACGCAAGTCCAGCTGTGATGCCATTCTCTCAAAAAAAGATGAGAGCCATCTGAATCAGAATCCACCCCTTCAGGAAGGGGGTAAGACATGTTTTAAAAAGAGTTTGCTCACAGGCACTGATAGCAAGAAAAATGCCCCTAGTAAAAATGTTAAGAAGAAAAGCTTGTCTGATAATGAGGGAAGTCATGTAAAACATTTTCCTAAATCCAAGCCAGTAGCCATTTCCGTGGCGTCTTACAGTCACATGTCCTCCTGTGATCATCCCAGGAGCCAGCCTTTTGACACAGATACATCCGAATACTCCCCACCACACACTGCAGATGCCCTCAAGAGTTCAAGGAGGCAACGGCGCTGCTCGGAGCCCAGCATTGATGACGGGCACTGCAGACTGACCTATCTCAGGGGGATTTATCCAAAGCAGCAGCAGAAAGCCAGCTATGAAGCCAGTCTTTTGCATGGAGAGGAAGATTATCTCAAGCGACACAAGTCTTTACAAATGGAGGGGCAGAAGCTTATTAATCAGAGTTTGGTCATGGGGATTGAGGTGGGCAAGAGTAGTGCTGCAAACCAAAGCACTGAGAAAGTTTTACCCCCACGTTTAAACCTCTGCTCAAGGACTAGCTACTCCAGCTTGTCCTCCCCAGGCACTTCCCCATCTGGCTCATCACTGAGTTCCCAAGACAGTGCTTTTTCTCAGATTTCCGAGCACTCTGTGTTTGCACCCACTGAAACATCCTCTCCAATAGACTGTACTTTTCAAAGAAAACAGGCAGAGCTTTCTTCTGACTTCAGCAGTTCTGGCCTCATTTCTGGAATTCCTGGTCCCTCATCAGGGCAGGCCAGTGGCCACCTGGCTTATACGAAAAAGGACAGTGTAGAGTGGCATTCACACATGCATTCTGTAACTCTTCACCCCAGCACGTGGTTGAAGAGTGGTGTGGCCAGTTTGAAAAACTGGTCTCTCAAAAAGAAGGCAAGAGCACCCAGACCAGAGGAAAGTAAAGCAGGTTCTCTGAAAGGGCCCACGGATCCTCCTGCACATGCTTCTGGTCTTCCAGAAGCCGTCGCACTGCAAGAGAGGCAGAAAGACGTGCCCCAAAGGGCAGCTGAAGGACTGGGAGCTGTACAGACGGCCCGCTGGTACAGTTCCTACCCCAGCCAGGACTCAGAGAAACACTGTAGCTCTCCATTCAGCCTCATGGAAGACAGACTTGGGCTTCGTATGAAGTCGCCTGAGGAAGGAGAGGAAGGCGGGCAGTGCTCTCCTGGAATGCTGCCACAGAGAAGGTCCTCCCCCGGCTCTTTGACTGTGGATGATGCATCCAGCCCAGGCTCAGGGCCGCCCGTGGTGTGTGATGCTGAGGACAGGCATTTGGCCAAAGACATTTAACCACCATAAGAACCTGATATCTACAAAGACAGAAACAGGCTGATAATGATACAACAATTACTATGACCCCTTTGTATAAAACACCTGGGTTGGGTAGCATAAAGATAATCATTGCTAATACTTAGGACAACAAAAGAATTCTCTTTCTTGAGACTATTTGGCCAAAAGTTTACACTAAAAAATTCTGTGACCTCAGTGTTTGGGAGGCTTTTCTGTATTAAAGCATGGATGGATCATGTCATGCATTTTAAGAGCTATGAGCAGACGGCTAGAGAAATCATCTTCTGTAGAGGAAACTTGCTGTGTATGATGAGATTAGTTCCTGAGTAAGCCAGGAGATCAGAAGCGAAGAACAGGAAGTGTGGAGAGAGAGGGAAGGCTGCAGGGAAACCACTCACATTCTGTGGAATGTTTTTAATAAGTAGGCCAAAATAATGCCACTAGTCGAAACTAAAGAGGTAACACATCTGATAATAAAGAAAATTATGTGAAACTTTTCCCCAAATCCAAACCAGTGGCCATTTCCATGACATTTTATATTCAGTCACATAGTCTCACAGCATCATTTCAGATATCTGCCCATTGGTGGCAACAGAGAGGAAAAAACAAGTGATTTGAAAGCCATGAGTACCATGATATTGTAGGTGGTTTTGTTTTTTGGTGTTTTTTTTTTTGTATTGGTTTGAGTTTTTCCACCAGTGTTTCGTGCTCCAGAGAGGCTCCACTGCACACTGCTGTGAGGAGAAAGAAGGAGACGACTGCTTGCTTCCATGTCCTTCCAAGGTGCCTGAGCTCGGAACGTTCTCCTGTTATAAGACAGCCTTCCCCCTGTATTCACTGTCTTAGTGTGAAGGGAAAGACAGCCAGAGCAGTCCTGTCTCTTACCCAGTTGCTGTTGCAAACATGTGATCAAACCATGGCTCCTCTTTGCTAAAGTGTTTTTCTGTTCCTTACCTCTTAGTCAGCCAGAACACATTCCTGATAAGTCATCCCCTTACTGATGGTCATTTGTCAGTTGAGAGAACACTTTTGAGGTTGGCGGGTTATGAAGAGTCACAGAATGGAGGAGCTCTTGGGCCTTCTTTTCGACAGTCTTTGGCTTCGGATTATCTTACCTCCAGAAGCTTTTGCATATTTTTTGTTCCAATAGTTTACAGTGTATACCCCCGTTGATTTATTTCATATTGACGGACATTTCCCCTCTCTCTTGCCTTAAAGATTACACCAGTACATCTCCTGGGTTATTTCCTGGGGTTATTAGGCCTGGCCAGCCAGTGTGATGTGATAGAATCAGAAATGGATGTGCTTCTTCCTTCATTTTTAAATACTTATAAGAAGTTGCTTAGAGCCCATTGAGTTCAATATCAGATGGACCTTCCCCCCACAATACTTGCTTCTATCAAATTATTTTCCTCAGCCACCCAGAAACTTTCATGTCAAATATTTTCTCAATGTTGTCTTAAAGGTTGCATTTTTCACTTGTATTAAAAAATAATGTTTTCTGTAAGAGAGACGTCCTTTCAGTATTAGCTACAGGTGCTACCTACCTCTAGAGGACATGGCCCTATTTGTCCTACGCATTGTAATTAACTTTTAGAACTCTCTCAAAAGAGCTCCTTTATGACACTGGCCATCTCAGTCACAGATGTGAAGTGGATTTTACCTTTTAACTAACCACTCCTATATTTAGACTCCTAAGTGTCCATATACATCTTTTGTGGTATGATATATAAAGGCAACAGGGATTCCCCTCACCCTTAGGGCATACTACTGCAGAACCGCAAGATGTGAATGAAGATGTGAAAGCCACTCTTAGGGCTTGGAGTGTCTTTCCAGAAGAAATTGCTTCTCTGCTTAACAAAATAATAGTTGTATCCTTTTTTTCTTTCATATTGGTGGTTAGGAAACCATCTACTCAGTTTGAAGCATAGAAGATGCTGAGGTTCTTCCATAACCGTTCCTATCCTCTGTGTTCCTTTAGATACTTCTGTAACATTTAATGTGAATAATTAATATTGCTGTAAAGTATTATATTGTACGATTTTAAGACAGACTACATGTCATTTTATTATACTTCATCAATCTATAATATATTAGACCAATGCTTTATCTAAAATGCTTTGAGTTTGTATAATATATCTTGAAAAATTTTACTACCATATGTTATGTAATAAATGTGTATTTTTGTACTTGCAGAAACTGCTGCTAACTTTTAAAGTTGTTTGGTTTTAAAGGCACTGATCATGGATATGTATGAAGTCCATGCTGTCTGTTAAATAAAACATCATCCTTCAGAGTTAACAGTCCCACCAGGGCAATATTGCCATTTGTAGAATTGTTTTAGCTAATGAGCCCAATTTCTGCTTAACATTGGAAATTTCGTAAAATGTAATTAATGTTGATTGGAACTTTGAGCTTTTAGTCATAGGTCATGTGGTCAGTCTCTCTAGAGAAGGAGGGCTTTATTTCTTTTATATTTTTCTGATCTTACTGTTTACCAAATAATTATGTTTTAAACATAAAGTCTTCATTTTTCTTAGATATTACATGTATACTGTGCTCCTAGAATCAGATACATATTGTCTGTATTCTCATAGCAAAGAACCATCAACTCAGTTCAATTGCTGTATGAGATCTTCTTGTCTAAATTTGTGCCCTTCTGACCAGAGTATCTAATTGATTCCAGGCATTTCCAAACATCCCAGGATGTCTAGATCCAGATACTACAAGATATCAGTACTTATAAAGTCATATAAAGTCAATAAATATTCTCATTTCTCTCATTTCCCATGAGTATCTTCACCTCCTCAAAGTTCATGGAGGTTTGCTGTATGTAAGTTTAAACACCATTTGAAAAAGGTTAAAAATATACACATGACCTTAGTCCAGAAAAAAAATGATTCATTCTGAGCAGTAAAGACCTAAAAAGAAATGCAAAGATGATTTTTGCTTCTAAAGAAGTTTAATCTACTAAAAACATTGAGTTCAATAAAGTATCTTAATTTTGTGGTTTTTCAGCTTTTCATGGAATGGCATTGAATTGAAAGGATCTAATGTATCCTCGAACCAGTGGCATATTTTGTCTGTTGAAACTAAAAATATTATGTATCTTAATCAAAATTATGGTAGTGTTTATTCTTTTTTACCTGGTCATGTTTTAATGACTTGAGAGACGTATCTGCAAACTGTTTATTTCAGTACAAGAAAAAAATTTAACAATAAAGCTAGGTAAAATGTTAACTTCTTTAATATCTATTCTGGTTACAAGGATATCTCATAAGGTAAGTTTCCTGCTGAAAGGAAGAGTACTCTTGAACTGTGTGCTTTCTACCCTAAATGTGAGTCTACTGTGTTCCCAAGCCACCTGTAAATATAAATCCTTCATTTGTATTGTTTGTTTGTTTTTAAAAGGGGGGGAGTGGAATTTCATAAACTTCAGTTCTACATAGTATTGGGTGTGTGATAGAATTGGCAAAAGGCTCTGGGGTGTAATTTGGAAAATTTTGTTTCCAAGTCCCAAAGAAATATGCACAGGGTGTCTTTGTATACTGTTTCTTCATTTGTACGGGATGCTTTCTCATTGTGCATTGTCAGAGTGCACATGCATTTGTAGATCGAAGTGTTTTTCTACCTATTTAATTTGTTAAGGCAAAGTAAATGTGTTTTCTGGAGTTTGACTTTATGTGACAATAGAAGATGCAGATTTGGGAGACAATGCTAGCTATTTTTCTCTAGGTTTAATTTTAAGATTACAGTAACTTAAAGTTAAATTTAGACCTTCTTATAGCCTCTTGATCTGCCATGAGGAGTGAATAAACTAGCTAAAAACCTGTACTTGTGGCATAGGCCCATTACTCTGAGCAAGTAAAATGGATGCTTAAAGAAATACCCAGTCTCTGCCAGATCACAGGAACTAATTGTTACTGTCTAAAATTTTCAGAGGAAAGAAGCATTTTATATCTTTGCCCAAGAATGAGATAACTGAGAAGCAGAGAATCATCAAAATACATGAACACAAAGAAGCACTGCTTGAAGGTACAGCGAATGATTAGAGAGGAGGAAAGCTAATTCAAGGTCCTAAATCACAAAGAACTCAAAAAAGGGGAAAGAAAAGGGAGAAAGTTTGTCTAGGGAGACAGAGATGTTACAAATGATGTAAATGCTTGTCAGGCCATCTAAGTTTTAATGTAGGTACTATTTTAGACCCTAGGATAAAGTTGAAAAAATATTGATTGTGTCCTCAGGGACTTCAAACAACTAAGGGAAAATTGGGTTGTGTAGAAGAAGGGGAGCAGTAACATTGGACACTCACTGTTGCCTGTATGCACTGGCAAGCAGTGCATTATTGGTTTTATATCATTTAGTGCTCACCACAGCCGTTTGTGGTAGGTACATTCAGCTAGAACCTCATTCTGACCCCAGGCTCTTTTCTTCATCTTTGACCTTAAAATAATGATGATGATAATACCTCTTCCATAATAAAGCAGACACAAAGTTAGGTACTTGAGGACCATCCAAACTTTGCTAAGTTATGTCTCAGCCAAATATCTCTAAGAAAATCATTCAGTATCAGAAATAATTCATAAACCTATGATAAATGTAAAAATAATTGGGCCAAAAGTTGGTCCAAACAGTGTAGACCTGTCTCCCTGCTTCTTCTAAGTACATCTATAGATCCTGGAAACAACACAAGAGACCAGTCAAAGATGGGTGGATTGGTTCAGAATGCTAGGACTGGAGGAAAAACACAGTAACGGGACATCTTACATCTCCTTAACCAACAGAAGAAGAACCAGGTCTGGTCATTTCCAACCTAGCAACAGAAGGCAGCACAGATCTGTGCATTGCTTCCCAGAAATGGATGGAGTCCTTCTGACACCAGTGGGTAAAGCACCACCAGCAAGAGGGATGGTTGAGTCACACTAAGTGGCCAGGCCTGAGACTTCCCACCCCCACTGGAGATACTAGAGTCACAACAAGCAGTTCAGCCTGGGAAGTAT